CTGGTCTGTGAGTGGGTGGGCCACAGAAAAATCATCCCCCCCACCCCAAAGCAATTAATCCAGGCTGCGTTGGAACACAAGGCTGTGCCACCCCCATGGCCCGCCCACCCGCTGGCCCCCACCCTTCAGCCCAGCACAAACCTGCCAAAAGCAGCGCAGCCCTCGCCAGCCAGGATGCGTTGATGCTGCTGTTGCGGCAAGAGCGGGCTGGCGGCACAAGCGGTCTGGAGTGGCGATGGAGACGGTGCAGGAGCACCGCGCTACTTGCATTTGCACGGCACTCTCGCACCTTCCAGCTCGCCTCTCCTGGCCAAGGGTTGTTTGTTCCTCAATGGCCGTGGGCTGTAGGGACGGCCTGGGATGGGAAAAGTACCAGCTGGGGCCTCCTCCTCCTCCTCATCGTGGTCAGTTCTCTCATCCCTCTGCTCTGCTGGGCCCCCACGCCACCCCATCGCTGCCCAGGGAATGCGAAGACAGAAGCTGCCGCCTTTGAAAAGCGCTGCTTTCTGTTGCCGGTGCCTTCCCCGATCTCTGTTCTTTCGCCCCAGCGAGAGCTATGCCTCTGCTCACGTTCTTCTCCTGTGCCCATGGCTGGGGCCGTGAGAGTCGGGGAGCAGCAGAGATGTGAGAGCTGCTCTCTCCCTCCCCCCCCCCGCCCCTCAGCAAGCCAAGCCTGGAGGAACGCAAAGAATTGCGGGGCGAGCCCTGGAGAAATGCGTGTTGGAAAGGCCCGCAAGACACGTTTCCAGCAGAGTCCTCTGTTCCGAAGTAGGATTCTTGTTCACTCAGGAAGCGGGCAGGGGGAAAGGGGAGCGGAGGAGAAGGTCCGCTGGCTTTCCCTTGGCATGGGGGGGCGACTAAATGCCCAGACCAAAAACAGCACCAAGGAAGACGGCCTCCTAATCACCAGCCTGTTTGTGCAGGTGAGAACTGGAGCCTTTCTGGACTCGACCCCCCCCCCCCCGCTTCCGCTTCCACACAGGGAGGGACCCTTCTCTGCTTGGAAGCAGCCGGAGAAACCTGGAGCTTAGCCTTCAGGGAGTCCTCTTCTTGTGTGGAGGCTGAAGTGAGGGGGTGTTGTCTGGTTATTAGGAGCCCACCTGCCTCAGCACTTCCAGCCCGGCCCTCCTACTCTCCCCCAACTCCAGCAAGCCACACCTGGTAAAGGGGGGAAAGGTTTCCTCTGACTTGGGGGGGAGATGAAATGACCGGAGACCCCACGGGGGGGTGGGCTCTGCTTTCCTTCTGTTTGGGAGGGAGCTGGTCTCCCCACCGCCTCCTGTCCAGATCTTCCCAGCCTCCAGGCCCCACACCTCCCTCTTTCCCCGCAAAGGACAAGAGAGGCCCCTCCTTTCCCTCCGTTCTGCCCCCCGTTATGATTAAGCATTTACGATTTTGATATAATGAAATAATATTTAAAATATACGCTGCTCAAAAAAATAAATAAAGGGAACACTTAAACAACACAATGTTAACTCCAAGTCAATCACACTTCTGTGAAATCAAACAGTCCGCTTAGGTAGCAACACTGATTGACAATGAATTTCACATGCTGTTGTGCAAATGGAATAGACAACAGGTGGAAAGCATAGTTAGCAAGACATCCCCAATAAAGGAGTGGTTCCTTATACGCTTCCTCTTTTACTTCCTTTTATCTTTTTTTAATAAAATTTTAATTTTATTTTTTATTACAAACGTATTATCGGCTGGTTACAAATATCTTGTGCAATACAGTTAATGTTTACAATCATATTCATTACATAGTATTATTCTCTAGTCTTATCTTATTGTACTTATTGTACTTAATATCACTATCTCTTTATCTTCTTAGTTTATTTATTTCTGTTAAAAATATATATCTTTTGTCCTTCTAAACTAATCCATTAATGATATCTAGCTTTCATATTTTTTTCTCTAATCGTTGATAGAATAGTTCCCATACCTTATAATAGTCAGTTTACTCTCTTTAATTCCAAGTGTTAATCTATTCATTTCTGCACATTCTAATATTTTCCTAATCACATTTTCTTCAGTGGGGGTCTGTTTCTTTTTCCAATTTTGAGCAAATACTATTCTCCCTGCAGTTATCACATGAATAATGAAATATACATTTTCTTTGCTATAAGTTTTAGGTAGGATTCCCAACAGGAATATTTCTGGTTTTAAATCAATAGGTTGTTTGTATTATCTCTTCCAGCCATGAGCGTATGTTTGTCTAATATTTTTTAGCTTCATCACATGTCCACCACATATGGTAATATGTGTCAGGTGTTCGGCGGGATTTCCAACATTTCACATGTCATCTATAAAACATTCCTGATTTACTTTTAGTTATTGGCAGCAGCTGCAATACACTTGCTAGCTCCACTATTATAAAGGCAAGACGTCCCCGCGATCGCGCACATACACGTGTCCCTGAGTGAACAAGAATCCTTTTGCAGACGTTCCCGCCCGTTCCGCTAACAAAGCGTTAAACCTAATCCAACCTGAGGAGGAGGAGCTTCATTTGCATTGATTTCAACCGTGGTGCTTTGCGAGCAGGAAAGGCTGCCATTCTGCCGTGAGGGATGAAGCGTTTTGCTCCGGGCGAAAGTCCGGCTTCTGGAACCGGCGGGAGTGTTCGAAAAAGGATTCTTGTTCACCCAGGGATACGAGTTTAGGCGCGATCTCACGGGACGCCATAACCTAAGTGTCCATCGCCGCCGTAGGGATGGGTGTCGGTGCCAAAGGAAAGCATACTCTGGTTTCTCTTCAGATCGTATAAATCTTTCGCCTTTTACTAAAGATTTCCGTGGAGAGGAACATTTATGAGTTTCGATTAATTTTTTGAGGCCCTGCTTCGGTAGGGCTACCTTTTCCTGGTTTCAAAAATAGAGAATGTATTTGAAAGAATGGGCTGTGAATTTTGCCCTCTGAAGTCGTTCTCTGTAAATGGTTGGTCCTCTTTACCTTGTAACATGTAAATGAAGTTGAAGAGACTACAAGGAGTAGAGAAGAGCAACTAGGATAATTAGGGGGTTGGAGACTAAAACCTACGAAGAATGGTTACAAGAACTGGGCCTGGCTAGTCTAGGGAAGAAAAGGACCAGGGGAGGCAGGATAGCAGTCCTCCAATATTTGAGGGGCTGCCACAGAGAGGAAGAAGGGGTCGGGCTATTTCCTAAAGCACCTGGTAGGCCAGACAAGGAAGAAACAATGGCTTCAACCTGGAAATAAAGAGAAACTTTCTGATAGTGACAACAATCAACCAATGGAACAGCAGAGGTTGTGGGAGTGTTTCAAGAAGAGATTGGACTGCCATTTGTCAGAAATGGTGTGTGGGTGGGGGGGTGGGGGGGTTGTTGGACTACTAGATGACCTACATGGTCCCTTCAGGTTGATCTGTATGTCTGGGGAAGGAGAATGTTTTCTCTCTGCGTTTATTCTCATGGCTTCTGGGTTCCCAACACCGCCCCCCCCCCCATGGGCAGACACTGGGTTGTAGAAACATGCAGGATGCAAGAAGCACACAAAAAACTGCACCTTCCTCTGGTCCACGATCCCATGTGCTTGGTGCCCAAAAGATTTGAGGGCCGCTGCTGTAGCTGACCTACGGGACAATAATCTCAGGGTTGTCCTGCATCTTTTCATTTGGCTCGATCCAAAAGGGGGTTGGGAGGGTTAGGTTTCTCAATGGAACCCGTGCTTAACTACCTCTCAGTAAGATTGTCCTATAGGTTCAAGGCATAATAATTGATATTTGTTGGTTGGTATATAGCAGGGGCCTCCAACCTTGGCAACTTTTAACTGCCAGAATTCCTCAGCCAGCAAAGCTAAGCTAAGCAAAGCAAAGTTGGCTGAGGAATTCTGGGAGTTACAAGTCTTAAAAGTGGCCAAGGTTGGTCAGAGATCCCTGCTATGGAGGATCATAGGGCTGCAACGGTTACAGTCCTACAATCACAAGTGGGAGGGGGTGGGTGATAGGGAGTGATGAGAAGATTAGCAGTAATAGTGCAGACTTACTAAATAGTTGGACAGCGTTGGAATTATTCGTTTAGCAGAGTGATGGTGCTTGGGGAAAAAAACTTGTGTCTAGTTCTGATGTGCAGGGCTCTATAGCGTAGTTTTGAGGGAAAGTTGAAACAGTTTGTCTGGGATGTGAGGGGTCTGTATTTTCACGGCCCTCTTTTTGACTCGTGTGTTATACAGGTCCTTGATTGAAGGCAGGTTGGTAGCCATTGTTTTTTTTCTGCAGTCCTAATTACTCTCTGAAGTCTTTGTCCTGTTGGGATGCAGAACCAATTGCTCTTTATTTGGAGTATTCCCAAGGAAAAGGGCTCTGGGCCAAATTGCTAAGAACAAGCTTCATCCTTCATCTAATACCCCAAACTGGAGGCAATAATTCCACAATTAGTTCTGTTGTGTCTCTATTTGCTCCAGGTCATCTCTCTGCCTAACTCCTAGCTGAGGTCTGCAAGTACCCAAACTCTTTACTACCCAGAATTGTAACAAGCTTTACAAATGCATATTTCCTCTGAATAAGCATTCTTTGTTCTTGCTAAACAGACACCCCCCACCCACCCCCAATTACAGGCTCCCTGATTTACTTTCCAGGGTGTGTGGCTTTATTTTAGTAGGCTTTCTAGGGTCTCGGCATCCTTTTTACATCCTGGCAACCAGAACCCAGAGCAGGATGGAGCCCATCAAATGGCTCGTGTGATCTGCTGTCGTTGGGGCAGGGGAAATTGGGGATGATTTCCCCCTTGGGGATGATTTCCCCCCCCCCCAGATTTTGTTCTATTGTATTTTATTAATTTTATTTGATTCTTATTAGCTTTTTGTTTTTATTTTAAATATGGTTTTACATTCTGTAATCTGCCTCCAGTTGCCATGGGCAAATAGGCAGCAATATAAATTCAATAAATATTCTACCTATGGCATACAATGCATTATAAAGTGAAGGCATACCTACTTCTTCACGGGATAATTTGTTGATACAGCTTTAGGACTACATTGGCTTTCTACACCATGAATGAAAGAGGGATCCGACAAACACGTGTCCATGCGTGAACAAGAATCCAAACAATCCCATGGAACACACCAACGGTTGGGGGAATAATTGGATTCCTTTACATTATCCCCAGCTCTATGAGGATCTATTTTTAAAACGATGCAAAGGCAGCCCTCTCAAATCAGGGCTTCCAAAAATTAAGACGAGTTACCCAATCGTCTGACCTGTCGTCCACGTACAAGGAGAAGAGCGTTGCTCTGCTCTGCCACCGACACGGAGGCCTACAGCGACGATGGACACTGAGGTTAGGGCGTCCCGCGCGCGACCACGGACAAACACGTGTCCGCGGGTGAACAGGAATTGGTTTCCTCGAACATTCCCGCCGGTTCCAAAACCGGCTATTTCGCACGAAGCAAAACGGTGCATCCATCACGGAAGAGCTGCGGGTCCTTTCTCCTCGCAAAGCATCATGGTTGAAGCAAATGCAAATGAGGCTACTCCTTTTTCCCCCCCCGCCCCCCGCTCAATTTGGATTAGATTTAACGCTTTGTTGGCGAGGAAAGATCGGCGCTCAGATCGGAGTCCCGCGTAAAGGGTGCAAAAACTGACCGTCAGCAAAAAGAGGCTTCCAAGCCTTTGATTAGGAAAAGTTACACCCGCTTCTGAAAAAAAAAAAAAAGACCTCATGTAGTTGACATCCGTTTGACCTCCTGATTGTAACTTTAGGCGAGACTCCGATTGGAGCGTCCAGGTTTCTCATCGCTAGCATCGCAGCCAATGGGAAACGAACTGGGCAGGGGAGGCGGGGCGAGGAGTAAGCCTCATTTGCATTGGCTTCAACCGTGATGCTTTGCGAGGAGAAAGGATCTGCGACTCTCCCGTGATGGATGCAGCGTTTCGCTTAGCGCGAAAGTCCCTTATGGAACCGGCGGGAATGTTCGGAAAAAGGTTTCTTGTTCACCCAGGGACACGTGTTTGTGGGATGCCTTGCATTTCTGGTGGAGCCAGCAGTGTTCTGCAAGCTGCCAAAGAAGCCCATGCAGTCCTAAGGCTGCATCAACAGATGATCACATGAAGGGTTGAGAGGTACCACTTTATAATGCCTTGGGAAGGCCACACGTAGAATATTTGCCTCCAGTTTTGGTTGCCACGATGTACAAAGGATGCCGAGACCCTAGAAAGCCTACTAAAATAAAGCCAGGTCATGACACACCCTGGAAAATAAACCAGGGAGCCTGTAACTGGGGAGTCTGTCTAGCAAGAACAAAGAATGTTTATTCAGAGGAAATATGCATTTGTAAAGCTTGTCACAATTCTGGGAGTAAAGAGTTAGGCAACTTGCAGACCTCAGCTAGAAGTTAGGAAGAGAGATGGCCTGGAGCAAATAGAGAATATTGTCTCCAGTTTTGGATAGTAGATGATATTTCTTATCCCGCCTTCCCCTTTATAAAGGTTAAACCTTTGTTCTTGACATTTTGGCCCGGAGCCCTTTTCCTTGGGAATACTCCAATAAGAAGCCATTTGAAAATCCTGCACCTCCTGTCTGGCATCCCCCATTGGCCTGGGCACCAGGCTCAGACCCGAATTGGGGACACTAAAAGAGTGCAGAGAAGCGCAAGAAAGACCATGAAGGGATCTGCAGGATAAATTGCAGGACTTTGCTATGTCTCCAGCCTAATAAAGAAAAGGATCAGGAATGCCATGCTGTTTTCCAGTATTGGAAGGGATGCCACAAAGAAGGGTGGGTCAACCCATTTCCCAAAGCACCTGAAGGCAGGACAAGAACCAACGGATGGGAACTGATCAAGGAGAGAAGCAACCTGGAATTAAGGAGAAATTTGCTGCCAGTGAGAATAATTAACCAGTGGAACTTCTTTGTCTTCGGAAGTTGGGGTGCTCCGTTGCTGCAGATTTTCCAGAAAATATTGGAGATCTGTGTCTGGGTTGGTATGGCCTTTCCTGCCTTGGAACGAGAACAGGGGTCCCCCCCAACCCTGGGTCATTGGGAACCAGACTTCACAAGTTGCAGGCAAACCTGTGGAGCTCCATTTGTGTAAGCAGCAGGCGTGTGCCTGCAACCACCCCATCTCCCACGCCCCCACCCCTACTGCTGCCAGAAAGTGTTGGAGATCGGTGGACTAGAAGATCTTCCCCAAGGTCCCTTGCAAGACCCCCTATGGTCGAGATTTCCCCAGCCAGCAAAGTTAAGCAAAGCAAAGCTGGCTGAAGTTATTCTGGGAGTTGAAGTCCACAAGTCTTAAAGTGGCCAAGGTTGGAGACCAACAAATATCAATTATTATTCTTTGAACCTATAGGAAAACCGATTGAGACGTAGGTAAGCACATGTTCCATTGATAAACCGACCCCTCCCTCCCTTCCTCCCCCTTTAGGATCCAGCCAAACGCCAAGATGCAGGACAATCCATAGATTGTTATACCATATGTTAGGGATATACCCCTAGCAAGATCTGCAGGGCAGTCAGGCAGGC